GCCAGATTTGAGTCTTCTTCCTTGAGCCGCTGCATAAGCTGCTGCCATAGCTGCTGCAGCAGCTGCTGCAGCAGCTGCAGCAGCTGCAGCTGCTGCAGCTGCTGCTGAAGCTGCTGCAATCAATAGGAGCAGTAGCTGCAGCAGCAACAGCAGCTGCAGCAATAGCAGCAGCACAGGCAGCAGCAGCACAGGCAGGGCTCTTCCTGTCTTGCGCTAGCCAGTGGCTGGTTATCAGCTCCGGGGACCCGCCGTTTGCTGCTCGTTTGATTTTGTTTTCGCTTCGAGTTTCATCAGCCTAATACAATAGGGAGAAGCAGAGCAGCAGAGTAGCAGCGACAGGCAGCGTGCACAGACATAGACAAGAGAGGCAGAGAGAAATAGACAGAAAGACAAAAGGAACGCACAGAAGTAGTGAGAGAGAGAAACAGAAAAACAGAGAAATAAAGAAATATAAATAAAACTTTATCTGCTTCTCCACCGTAGCATTCACTTTGCTGCTTTTCCTTGTCTATAAGACCCTAAGAAAGCGGCTGGGCGGCAGTGCAGCAATATAGGGGAAATAGAAAAATATAAACGAGAAGAAGAAAGTATGCTCATGGAGACGCAGAAGTGCAACTTATGAGGATGAAGAAATACACTAATGAAGACGCAAAAACCAAAGGATCGCTAAGAGTTGCATTGGCTGCTTCTGAGGTGTATAGGCAGTAAAAAGTTACTGTGCGGCGGTTCTCTTATAAAGGACCACGGATAGAATGCTGGCGATAAAGGAGTTATATGCAATGAATAAATAAAGAAATGCAAGAAAGAATGAATAAAAATAAAAGAAAGAACTCCCATATTTTCTGCTTTTTCTAGTTTTGTCTTTGAGGCCCTCATCAACAACCAGCGACGGCAGAGCAAGCGGCGCGGGCTCACGCTGTGCTTTCTCTATATAGCTACAAAAGGTAAATAATTTATTTATTTCAATTGATTTAGCAAATTTGGTTTTCTAGAGAACAAGTTTTTATGTGTTTTACCCCCCCTTTATGCTCTATGCTGTTGCAGCTTCCGTGGTGATACGACTCTTCTCTCGCCTTAGCGGTCTGCTGACTCACACTCACTAAGCAGCGGAGCTAGGAGCTCGGCTCGTTTTCTGCTTACTTGTTTCCGGATGAAAGCTACTTAAAAATACATTTCCACTTCTTGAAACACAAAGAAAAGCTTTCTTTTGTTGTTTTTTGTTTTCCCTGTGATGGAGGGTTATAGAGAGCGGCGGTTCGGCGGCGGCCGCCACTCGGTAATCCGTGCATGTGGTCAATGCGGATAAAAATATCGAAAAACCACTAAATTAAACACCACAATAAGATTCATCTTCATTAGTATATTATAATTACAAAGATTCAGCATTTTTTAAACATGGGAACACAGAAGATCGCAACGCTTTCCTTTTTTGTCGGCTGCGGTGGCTCAGCGGCGTCGCGAGAGGGGGGGCGGGCGGCCACCCTATAAGAAGGCCGGCCTTGGAGGGCCCCTGGCTGTTTAATTGTGGGCTTCCTCTTGTTCTTTTTGTATTTTTCTTTTGTTTTTGTTTATTTTGAAGCTTTTGATTTCCTATATATCTATCGTCACTGCACTGGCAACAGCACACACCGCCAATGGGCACCGATTTCACCAGTGGGGGCGGCTCTGAGACCGTCGCTCGCTGATGAACGCTGGGGGGTCGGCGCCTCTTTATTGCTTCTATGGCGAGTAAGTTCACCTTTTCCGGTTTATAAACAAAGAAAACACTTTAATTATCTATTTTAAATCCAAGTCGATCGCGATCTCCTTCTTATTCCCTTCTGTTACCTGCAACCCCCAGCCTCAGCAGGCCGAGACCGCCCCCGACCACCGTCGGCCCCCCGGGCTTCTCTGTTCGCCGCGCCATACTGCCTTTCTGCTTTCTCTGTTTTCTTTCAGCGGCTTGTTTAATTCCAGAAAAAGAGAAAGTCATCAAACAGACCGCATGGCGGACCCCAGCGCCCACGCGCGCACCGCCTCCTCCCGCAGCAGATGTTTCGTGTAGCAGCAACTGAACCATTGACAGCAGCAGCTCGCCTTGCTCCTAGCCCCTCTGGCCTTCATTTTCTTCATATCTAGACGAGAACCTGTTTTCTTTGCTGGCGCTGTATATCGGGATCTGTTTCGATAGATCTTTCCTGCTGCTGCTGCTGCTGTTGCAGCAAAACACAAACCAGCTATTTCACGCCGACGTGTGCTAGAGCTATCGTCGAGACCAGGAGCGCAGCAGCGGTAGAATACGGGAGTAGGGCCCCCGTCAGCGCCATTGGGGGGCCCTCTAACCCTCACTGTGCTGACGAGT